ACGGCCGGTGTTGTCCCAGCTCTTATCTGCCAATGACTCGGGGTAGCTGTTGAATTGAACGAATTAGCAATTTTGGAACTCAATTGATCAATGTAGGTGACGGAAAGCATACAGCTTCCTCATGGAGCTCACCACTGCCTGCGTAAATGGCGATGAGGTGGGGTATGAAGCAGACATTGTGGAATATAGGCGGGCGGATTGGCGACGAAGAGAGTTCATAGACAATGCTGTTGTAGTCTGGGGTATGCGGTGATCAGGTGCAGTTCCGGGATGTCAGCAGGCCAGCGCAAAGTTGAGCTAGAAAATACCCCGCGAATGTAGAAGCAGATGAAGCTTTAGAAGAAGCGATGGAAGCCGAGGAGAAGCTGGCGCCACAGCTGCCCTAGTCCAGACTGGGGCTAGTACCCACCAGCCACAACGGCAGCTGACCAATCCGTTTCTTACGGTACGGTACGGGAGGAAGGAGAAAGAGGAACAATTCCAGCATGAAGGAATTCCGTCATCCTACATCGGAAGAAGCATCACCGCGCTGCCCACCCTTCTGACTGAAATCGCTCTTAACGACTCTCGGTCGCTTCACCTTAATATAATCTAATACCTCTAACTATCCAAGTACCTTATACTCCTTTGAAGTCGCCGCCCGGCTCGCTTGATGTACTCCCGCACCACTACCCTGTTGAGCAGAAGCTGCCGGTATCTTCTCCGCACCCCCGTCCATCACAAATCGCCGTTCTCGATTTCCGCGCGCTCCTTTGCGGCAGTCAACGCAGCCATGGCCGATACTTCGGGCGTTACGGCCGAGTCGCTGAAGAGCAAATTGATCGATCAGTTGCAGGCGCAGCATGTTGAGATCGAAGACTTGTCGGGTATGAGAGCGCCTGCTGATTAATTTCATCTCCATGAGGGAAATGAATGCTACACAACTATATGATTCCAAGACCAGATGTTGACGATAATGTTGTCTACAGGTGGTTGCGGACAGGCTTTCCAGGCCGTCATTGTCTCCCCCCAGTTCGAGAAGAAGACCATGCTTGCTCGCCATCGCCTCGTGAACTCGGCCCTCAAGGCCGAGATCGCTGCCATCCACGCCTGGACGCCCAAGTGCTACACTCCCGAGCAGTGGCAGGCGCTGCACCAGGGCTAACTCTGTTGTGAAGACGGAGGCTAGAGGAATAGGGACTGAATATATCCTGGGGATTGACATACCCTTGAGGGCATGCCGTCGGGCGTTGGGTTATTCGACATCATGGCTTTGCGCTGCCAGTTATGACTTATGGTTCGCTGGCTGTGGTTCTGAAAATAGAGTTCTATCGCAATAAATATTATGATATATTGTCATGTGAAGAGCCTAAGTATATAATTTTTTATATGCTAATTCTCTGGGCTGGTTTAGGCCAAGACCTTCTCGGCCGCAGAGACTACATAATCCGTTAGTAACAAACAATTTATATGCTGGTTTTTGGGACCATACCGTCAAGACCGATGTTGTCGGGCTCCACGAAAGCCTCCTTGACCTTGCCGTTCTCGACAAGCAGGGCGTAACGCTTGCTGCGGTTGTTTCCAAAGATGGAAGCGCTGTCGAAGGTCACATCCAGGGCCTCGGAGAACTTGCCACTGGGGTCACCCAAGAAGCGGATCTATCATGTAGCGTTAGTACACGGCACCGGGTGTTTCTCGTACAACCAGGTTATAAGATCACTTACGCCGCTCTTGCCCTCGGGGTCAAGGGAGGTAGCCCATGCCTTGGTGCTGTTGTCGGGTTAACCATGATACCCTCGATTAACGGATGACACCGTACGTGACCCGTAACTTACACGAAAGGGTCGTTGACTGCAACAACGAAGACCTGACCGGCCTCCTTCAGCTTGGGGTGGTTGATGAATCCAGGAACGTGGGTGGCAGAGCAGGCGGGGCCTAATTTCCGCCGAGGTGGAACGGTTAGCAATTTATCACCAGGGGATATCTCTAATAACAACAGCGACCACTCCTATCCAAGGCCGGGCCGACGATATCGGCACGAAGATTACATACTGAAGGCAGCAGGAACACCGACGATGACGCCCTTGCCCTTGAGCTCCTTGGCGAGGTTCACCTTGTTGCCGGGCGAGTTCTCAACCAGGACATCAAGGTCGGGGATGGCGTCTCCCTTCTGAACAAAAGCGGGTGCCGTGCTGTGGAAAAGGGCCCTTTGGGACAAGGTGCGAGGGACACCGGCGGTAAGACGACGAGCAGCAAACATGATGGCTACAGGGAGGAATGGATGATAATTTGACAAGGAATGTGTTTGGTGTGAGAGATTGAATATTCCCGTTGGGGGGTTGCCACAGGAAGTTTAAAATGAGAAATGAGCGATATGGGAGGTGGAAGGGAGGAAGAAGGTGGGAGCTGGATGGAAGTTGATTATTGTTGTTCCTGAGCTGGTGGAGCTTCCTCAGCTTTCTCCAGAAATAACAAACATTAATTTAAATTGCTCCCGTTCGGGGGGTCGGAACATTAAACATTGCGATGATTTCGGCATGGTCGCTTTTCGGCTGCAGCGCCCGGACGTCGACTGGAGAACGTGGGGACTTGCTAAGGAGGAAGAGGAGGATAAGTATAGGACTTTCAACTATCCTTGATGGTCGAATGGGTTGATTGAAACAGCCAACTGCCCTCTGCAGATAAAGCCACACAATAGTGCGGTTGTGAACAGAATTCCGGGACCTCTTGCTGGTTTCAAAACAATCATCCACGTGAAAAAGGGCGATAACGCCATAATTTAGGGCCCACTTATGTATGTATGTCTACATATCATTACTTCAGATTCGCTTCCCCCGGCATGTGGGAAGTAGTACCAGACACAAGGCCGCGATGAAGAGGGGGGGGTGGTGAGCATCGAATCAATCATACCGTGCGGACATCGACTCCGGCAAGATCTCATGGACCAGTCTCGATCGCTGCCTCAGAATCTCTGACAGCCTTTGTTCCCGCCGACTGACGGACACCAACCCTGCATTGTCTGTCTCTAAACTGCAAGGGTTCGTTTGCAGCATTCAAGTGGCTTTGGACCCCCGGGAGGGGTTTGAGTCTGGACTCTCAGCAGCACCTCCCCCATCTAGAACCTTGGCTGATAATTGATCTTATTCATGGGCTGGCTGGATGAGCGTGATAAGACGAGCATGAGAGGAGAAGACAGGAGTCGGATTAACCAGTAAATTAGTTGGGCACTTACTTACATAGTTTGTCTCGCACAATATCAATAGTACCAGCTTCCTTAGAACTAGTACATGATGTTCGGGAGGTGGCGTCTCCATGATCCATACTACTCCATAGCTCCTTGTGCTAAATTAAGAAAGAGCCCATCCGATCTCTCTATCACATCTTATGGCTCAATAAGGAAGACTGGAATTAGAATATGGCTATTTCATGGTCTGTCTCTGTTCTTTCTTTGTCATGTCGTTCTTACTTACACACCTGACAACCTGTTAGTTAGTTGTAATCATCTCTGGATCCTCGTATCGTCGGCTAACCCGCGAGAGGGGATCTGCAACTGTTGCCGAAATTGGGGCCCCCTGAGAAGGGAAGCCATCTGTAGTAGTTGAGGAAAGGATGGCCCAGCAGAGCAAAGTCGTGCACTGAAGGCATACATACATACTGTACGTAAGTAATGATGCAGTTGATTTGATTCTCTGGAACCCCACCTCGTACAAACCCGCTGGCTACCGCGGGGTCCGAGAGGAATGAACGAAGGCAAAAAGAGAAACAAGGATGATGGGCTGAGAGATAAACATCAAAACGGTCATTGCTTCCGTCCACCCCTCCCTCCGTATACCACGACACGGTCGTTCGGGTTGTTGATCGCTGCGCAGGATCCAAGGCCCCTCCACCTGAGGCAGCCTATCTCCATAGCTTCCCCCCCATCCTTTTTGTGCATCATTCTGCATCCATCAGGCGCACTGACAGCAGTCTTTGAACCGGTAATTCCGCCAGAAGAAGTGGTGGATACTGATCACTCACTCAGTCACACTTGCTTTGTTGCCTTCCTTACTTGGTGCCTTGTGCGTTTGTTTTTGGGTAATGGATATTCTCTTTTGTCTTTTTATTATTACCAAATGATTTTTTTCCTCTTCACCAGAATTCTTCATTTACCTATTTATTTTATTTTCCTTTTCTTCTTTCTCTCTCTACCGTTTCTTCTTCGCCTTATACTTTGTATGTATGCTGGGAAAGTTAAAAAGGAGGGGAGCATAATTCTTGGTGAACGATATTGAGTTGTCAGTCCCTATTAATTAGTTAGACCCGGGGGCTCTAAGATTTAGTTCCCAGTGTTAGGTTTTCGTTGGCTTAGCATTAAGAATTCTTCCTCTACCCCTCTTATGGATCTCCTTGCGTGAGGTCATCCCCCCCCAGTATTAGAGACAAGTGCTGCATGAGAAACAGCCTCAAGATACCCGTCAAACGGAGAATTTCAAATTGCCAGAATGCTTGGAGGACAAGTAGATACTAGAGAAATAGTACATCTCTTCAAAGTCAAGTAAGATTAACCGGAAGGGGTAAAGGGACGGAGAAGTGACAACCCAACGGGTGGGTTGGAAGTTGTGGCTAGTGACCACGTACTCGGGGGGGAAACCGGAAAACCCACTTGGGGCAATTTGGAGATGCGTCGATAATAATCAATACCACTAACCTAACTACCACTGCTACTTCATACATTTGACTACTGTAGATACTACAAGAAGAAACTTTGCTGGGCTGGGTGAACGTGAACCTGATTGCCAAATGAGAGTGAGCCATGGAAAGCAAATCACCGAACCACCTTTACCCACACGCCTGCCTTTTTCTAATCCACCCCCAACTCAGCCAGCAGCGCAGCAGCAGCAGCAGCAGCAGCAGACATGACAAGACAAGAGAGGGGGGAGAAGAAAAGCCCCTCGGTGTTTCTCTCTCTCTCTCTCTCTCTCTCTCTCTCTCTCTCTCTGCTACCTAACCTAACTACCGACCGTTGACTGATGATTTAGGATTTTATTATGATTGAATGTTATTTGATTTGATTAGTATTTTCTTTTTCTCTTTTTCCCCCCCTTCTTATTTCTTTTTTATCTTCCCCTCTTCAAGGGAAAAAAGGGCAACAAGACCAAGACTGAAAATAATAAATCCCAAAAAAATATCAGGCTCCACTAAAAGGAGGGACTGGAACTAAACCCGAACGGCATTGACTAATTAATCCCCATTCCTCCTACTTCCTCACTAACACTAAGGCTCACTAAACTAAACTTGCCTACCACCACCACCACCATCTCTCGACCACGACTACTACCTTACGCTCGTCTTTTTCTTTCTTTCCCTCCATTCCTCTTCTTTTCTTTCGTCCTCTTCTTTTTCTTGTCTGATCACTATTTTATTTCTCTCTCTCTCTCCAGTCTCCTTTCTTTCCCTTTTCCTTTGCCACCCGACATTTAATTTGACGACTGGCTGGTTTTTCTTCTTTCCCGTCCCTCCGCCCGTTTCTCGCCTTGCGACTTGTTGAGCCTGTTGCTTGTTCGATCGGTCGCGACCCATCTAGCCCACGATGGACGGTGGCCAGACCTCGACCAGCACCGCCCCCGCGGGCAACTCCAGCGATTTTGTAAGTGTCACCCTCGATAGCGACCGTTGTGAACCTCATGATCGCTATTATTTTCTATGCGATTATTCTTCAGTTTGCTAACATGATGGTTAGGTACGAAAACTCTACAAGTGAGTTGTTCCCCTCTTACTACTTCCCTGTACCTTGCCTGCGCTTCATCACTTCGCTTTCTCGTCCGCCGGGTTTTTCAATCTCAACCCCCCCGGCTTTTGCTGTCCGGTTGTCGCTGCGCCCTAGTAGAATCCAGCGATGCTCTGCATAACCTCGACATTTGATCATGCGTGCTAATCCTCATCGCAAAGGATGCTCGAAGACCCATCGTACGCGGAAATCGTGCGGTGGGGTGACGAAGGAGACAGTTTTGTGGTCTTGGAGGTATGGCGCTCTTCGCATCTCCCACCCCGTCTGCCTTTCCTGCGGTCGCAATCCTCGAGGCTGACCTAGAAATCTATCCAGTGCGAAAAATTCACCAAGACCATCCTTCCGAAGCACTTCAAACACAGCAACTTTGCCAGTTTCGTGCGACAGCTGAACAAGTACGACTTCCACAAAGTGAGACAGAACAACGAGGAAAACGGACAGTCACCATACGGACAGAATGTAAGCAACCTGCGCTTAGTGGCAGTCGATGCGATAGGTTCTAACTGTACTTGCTCTTCAGGCCTGGGAGTTTAAACACCCTGAGTTCAGAGCGAACAGCAAAGAATCCCTCGATAACATTCGACGGAAGGCCCCGGCTCCGCGCAAACAGGCCCAGAGCACCGAAGACTCGGTCCCGACACAACAAATAGATTTGCTGAACCAGCAAATTGTGGCTCAACAACAACAGATTCATCAATTACACGAGCGACACACACGACTCAGCGTCGATCATCAGTTGATGATGCAGGAAGTTATGAGGGTGCAGAAGACCATCCTTAACCATGAAAATGTTATCCACCAGGTGATGACTTACCTGCTCTCCGTTGATGCCCGCCAGCGGCGCGACAGCAAAGCGGCTGCTGTGCCTTTCCAAGCCCAGGGTCAAGCCGGTTCGACCCTGAGCCCTTCACAGGGCGCATCCATGGACGACGAGCCCTCGTCACCCTTGCAGCATGCCTCGAAGCTCCTGAATGATATGAACGCAGAGATTCAATTCAATCTAGGGGGCCTAGAGTCCATGGGCGAGCCACCGAAAACTACCGCCGTGGTCCCTACACCTGCTCTGGAGACTGCTCCCCGGAATGGTGTCGCGCGGCCCTCTGCTGCTGACGCCAGTGCAAATACTGCTATGGTCTATTCCAAGATGAACGGAGAGATCGAGCCCGTCGTCTACCCGGTGGGCGCCACCAACGGAATCGATCCTATGTACAGTGAACATGTCAACAACGTCCCGTATCCCATGCCTCCTAAACAAGAGATTGACGAATCTCGACGGCAATTCCCCGACAACCGGAAAAAGAGCGCAAACGTCGATCCCGGTTGGGTGCGCAGCCCCCATATTCTGCTCGTGGAGGATGATGCGACATGCCGTCAAATTGGTGGCAAATTCCTATACTCCTTCTCGTGCCTGATTGATACCGCGGTATGTTACTTTTTCAAAAGACTCGGAACTCTCTCGACTGACATAGCTTCAGTTTGACGGCCTGGAAGCGGTGAACAAGATCCAGGATGGTTCCAAATATGATCTCATTCTCATGGACATTATCATGCCCAATTTGGATGGTGTTTCTGCTTGCCACCTTATTCGCCAATTCGACAGGACCCCCATCATCGCCATGACATCTAACATTCGCAGTGACGATATCCAGCTCTACTTCCAGCATGGTATGTTCACCACCCCCTGGGCTCCTTAGTACAGCCACTCTTGGGTCGCTATGTTAGTGACTAACAGCATCAATAGGAATGGATGACGTCCTTCCAAAGCCCTTCACAAGAAAGAGCCTTCTCGATATGCTTGAGAAACACTTGGTTCACCTGAAAACGATGCCGCCGGGCATAGAGGCTCCCCAATCGGCAGCGGCCGTTACGATGGCCGCGCAAAGCTCGGCCGCCCAGTCAGTCAAGGAGGACAGCTCTCCTGGGCAATCGCCAGCAACATCGATGACTGCTTGGCAATCACCGGGCCAATTTCCAGGCATGACTGCCGTGGCTCCTAACGTTCCGCAAGTCCAAGGCCAATATATACCCGCCGCCCCTGCTGCGGCTGCATATGCCGTAGATCAAAGCGGAGTTCAGTATCCCGCACCCGCGGTGGCCCTTGCTACTACGGCGCCTGCGGCCGTCAGGCCGCAACCACCTCGACGACAGCTTTCGGAAATGTCGAGTGCCACCGAAAACCCCAATATGGCCAAACGGCCGCGCATGTACGCTCATCAAGCGCAGCCAATGGTTAACCCCATGCAAGCTGCGCGAACGGGCTAGATCGAGTGTCTTCCATCTCTCACCTCTTTTCTCGCCCTACACTAGATGAACAATGACCTTTACCCAATTCCCTTGGACACCCGCCTTCCCGCATCTCTCACCTCACTCCCGCTACGCCTCTCCACCTTACGATTTCCGTTGTTCTTCTCGTGATGAAGTCTTAGCCGTACGATACTGTTGTCTCGGGGAGTTGTACTGCTTCTGTGTTATTTTCCCGACGTTGCTCGATATATCCCGGTGTTGGAGGCGCGTGTTATTTACTTGCATAGGTTGCGAATCATTTTGCGGCAAACTGTTGCGTTGTTTTCGTTTCTACTGGCTGGATGACCGATGCAGTCGAAAAAACTGGTACTCGGGGTATGGCATCCAGATACCTTGGTTTTGGCAGCAGGACCTTGGGCTGGCAGCATGTAGTGTCTATTGTACGCGTCATATGGACTTGTTATTCTTCTTGTTGGGGCGCTTTGTAACCAGTCTCCGTTGTTACGTGGAAGGTCAATTTGCTGTGGGTCAAACAGTTAGCTAAGCATATGATGCTCAACAGCAGGGTTGTTGGGTCAGGAGGTAGGAATCTATAGAGCCAAATTCAAAATCTATTATTAACTCCCATCATTTCCAACCACATAGATACTATTTAACGTTCAGCATATCCAGGTCTAGTAACAGAGTGCAAAAAGGGAATATGACGTTGCAGGCGCCCACCACTTTTTCCACACCAGCCCCGGAGGTTGAAATGGTGGCCACCCACCAGTTGAGCGGAGGGGAGAGCATCATCACCACCCTCGTCATCATACGACCCAGCGAACCGATCTGCCCACCCGGTCCCTCCAAGCAGGCTGCACTTCCGATCTGGTGTTCATCAGCTTTATCCACGATAGATAAGGTTCTAGACCGTCGGTCCCTGAACAAGGGATATTCCTTCGAGTCCATGAGGGCCCAGGCCTTCGATGGTGTTCTGGACTCTGAAACCCCCGGCACTCGCTGAGCCACTGTGGCTGTACCCCCTTCTGCAACGGTTATTTAATCACGTGAAATATACATCACGTGCAATGTGACCAGGGTGGGGTTGTTTGTGAGTAGGAGTAGGAGACAAACAAGACAAACGGGCCGCCAGGTGGGATGAAGAAGAAAGCGTGACTCTGAACTTCCTCCGCCCGACGGCGCCGGGCTTGGCGGAGATTTTGCGAGTTGAACGCGCCCTGGGCGAACTTATTCATTGTTGCTGTCGGATTGTGCCGATTGTTCTAGGTGACTTTTTACGCCTGCCATAATTTTCCCACAATACCCTGTTACTGCTATTTCCTATTTCCTGGACCTACGCCGTATCTGAGTCTCTTTGTGATTTGAGGTGGGGGAATTTCGAGAAATTACTCATCGGTCGATCTACATACCGTTCTTGATGTGAGTGCGCAATTGTGTGCCCTCAGCGCTCTTTGATGGAGGTGATGGACCTGGATTGTTCTGACTTGCTGACGCTTTTGGTGTATAGATGGGCCCGAAACAAAAAGGTGGTGCGGCGAAGAGGGGAAATGCCACGGAGGAGGTAGAGGAGACATTGCAGGCTGTTGTATGTTATTCTCGAATCGCAGAGGGGAGGTTGATGGTTTGTGGTTTTGGGCTAATGGCGCCGTGTGGCTTTAGGTGCTTGCAGATACTTTCGAGACGAGGTTCGAGCCGTTCACACTTGAGAAGCCTAGGGTATGTGTGGTTGTGCTGCTGCGTTGACTGTATGCATTGATGGTGGGGATTCTGAAGGCTGACGCAGAGTGATTGATCTAGTGTCTCTTGCCGCTTGCGAACACTCCCTTGATTGAATATACGCTCGAGTTTCTCGCCAATGCCGGTGTGGAGGATGTCTTCCTGTACGGCGGAGCGCACTCCGATCAGCTGGAGAAATACATCAAGTACGTGCGGGCTGAGACAGGATATGCTGGAGATATGCTATTGTGGTTGCCGGGCTGACAAGGAGGATTTGCACAGTGCGTCCAAATGGAGAGCGCCATCGTCGCCTTTCAAGCAGTTGACTTTCCTCAAGTCGACGTCGACGTCGGTTGGAGATGTCATGCGTGATCTTGATGGCAAGCATCTCATCACGGGCGACTTCATCGTTGTCAGCGGTGATGTTATCAGCAACTTGCCTATCGAAGGCGCGCTAACCAAGCATCGTGCTCGCCGTGAAGCGGATAAGAACGCCATCATGACCATGATCTTGAGAGAGGCTGGCCGGAACCACAGAACCAAGTCCTCGTCTGTGTCCCCTGTTTTCGTTATCGACCCCACCAAGGACCGTTGCCTACACTACGAGGAGATCGACCATCATTCCCCCGAGTCTTCTCGCCTGAACATCGACGCGGAACTCATTACGACACACCAGGAGATTGACTTGCGCCAGGATCTGATCGACTGTAACATCGATATCTGCACACCCGATGTGCTGAGTCTCTGGTCCGACAGTTTCGATTACCAGACGCCCCGCAAGCAGTTCTTGTACGGTGTGCTGAAGGACTACGAGTTGAACGGAAAGACAATCCACACACACATTGTTAAGGACCACTACGCTGCCCGGGTCCGGAATCTGAAGGCGTACGACGCTGTCAGCAAGGATGTCATTTCGCGGTGGGCGTACCCTCTGTGCCCCGACACCAACCTGCTTCGCGGCCACAACTACGAGCTTCGGAAGGGAAGCCTGTACCAAGAGCAGGGTGTGACTCTGGCCCGCTCGTGCGTGATCGGTCGGCGCACGGTCATCGGCCAGGGCACCAGCATTGGAGACAAGACGACGGTCAAGAACACTGTTCTCGGACGCGACTGCAAGGTCGGCAAGAACGTCACGCTGGATGGTGCTTATATTTGGGATGGCGCTGTCATCGGCGATGGAACGACTGTCAACCAAGCCATTATTGCTGACCGGGCAGTGGTGGGCAAGAACTGCACCATTGAGCCTGGCTCTCTGATTTCATTTGATGTCGAGATCGCCGATGGTGTCAAGGTTAGCGACGGAAGACGCATAACGACAGCCTACCGGGAGGAGGACGATGAGGTGCCGGCCAGTGAGCCCGAGGTTGTTGGAGAAGGCGGCAAGGGATATGAGTACGTTCCTTATGATGACGATGAGGACGAAGATGAGACGGCCAGCAATGCTTCGTCTGGTTTGAGTAAGTGCATTCTGCTGCTCCATTTCTTTGAGTCTGTTTGGCTAACATTACTTTCGCAGTTTACAATATGGCGAACCTGTCTCTCTCTACAGAGTCTATCTCGACGCTTTCCTCCGAGATCTCAGAATTCGGCCGGTCTCGTTCGGGTAGTTTCAGTACTACAATGTCCGACGACGAGGACCAGGACCACTTTGTCCACGATGCCGCGGCTAGTGTCTACGACAGCTTGCGGGATGGGGTCACATCCGACGTGGTACAACTGGAGCTGGTCAGTTTGCGTATGACGGCGAATGCTTCCGATCACCAGGTCCGACGAGCCGTGGTCTCGGCGTTCATGAAGCGCATCCAGCAATTGATGGACGGCGGCAAGGGAGCGAGCGAGGCCATCCGAGAGATTTTCGGCAAGTACAAGGAGATCGTAGAGCGGTCATTGTTCGATCGCGACAGCGACGAGAAGCCCGATCAAGTGGACTTGCTGGTCCTCCTGCAGCAGGACCTGGCGCACCGCAGCCGTGGTGACACGGTCATGCTCTTCACGGCCAAGGAGCTGTACGACCTGGAGATCGTGGAGGAAGAAGCTTATGAGCAGTGGTGGGCCGATGAGCGGTCGAGCAGCACGGAGGAGATGCGCCAAGTGCGCAGCCAGTCGCAGCAGTTTGTGGACTGGTTGGCCAATGCGGAAGAAGAGGAGAGCAGCGAGGAGGAAGAGAGTGATGAAGATGATGAGTAGATGATATAGACCATAGCCTAGAACACTAGCAGAATTGACCAAAATTCAATGACAAAAAGGGGTTACTCCATTCATACTATTGCAGAATACCCATCATACCCAGCATGAATGGAGCTGCAGCCGATGAAGCGTTGAATTGTTGCTTGTGCTTTCAGTGCCTTTCTTTGGGTGCCTAATATCACAGGTATCAACCAGGCAGTCACGGGTATTACCCAAAGAAGCAAGTTAGATTGCCAGGTGAATCAGGTGACGATGGAATGAATTATTTGTTTGGCGATCGCCTGGTTCTTGCCTTGCTTCAGCCAGCACCATTCCAATAATAACTTCAAGATTGTTCTGTTTGTTTGCTTCTAGATACGACTTAGATCCTACCAGGTGGATAGACGACCGTGCACACATCATCTTCATTATTGTCATCATAGTACCCCTGTGATTATTGCTCACTACTTGACTCGGTAGTCGGTTAGTTACATGTCACATTGACTAAGAGGCGTGAGGGGAGGGGGGAAGAAGACCAGCTGTTGTCTTCCCAAGGTACTACTACCGTACTAGTCTATCTGTTCATCTATCTTACTCCGCACTTCTGGGAACTTTCTCTTCGATGTGCACGGCTCTATCTGCCTTTACCTGTTCCTCGAACTGTCTCTCCCCACAGTTTGGCTCTTTTGGTGGAGTTCATCCCCCTCTACTTAGAACTTGGGCCTCCTGCTGCAGTTTGACCCTGCCAAGTCCCTAACATTGGAGCCGCGATCGAGCATGATAAAGGGATACATCATTCCCTTTTTTCCTTTTTTTTCACCCACTGGATCATTCCTCGAAATAGGGGATCCCAGTGCTGAGAAGATATTTTCGGATCGGAATCCACCTTTTTTATTATTTCTTTCTTTTCTGATATTCCCCTTTTGAATCGAATCCACTGTTGCAGTTCTATCGAATCCAGAAAAAAACGGACCCCACACCCAGAATCCCTCCCGTGACGTCCGCCCGGCTGTTAGTGACACAACCCGCCCCTCCCTTTTGCCCAAGCAGTTGATTGAACATCATTAAGCTCTCTCCACGCAACGATCGGCTGAGGGCTAGTGCTGCCCTGTTCCCCTCGTTCCTACTACCACTACCCTGTTTTCTTCTTCCTTATTGTCATCAGGGTATTTCCGTATTCCCCCCTTTTTTTTCATATCATCAAAGTTCCTGCTATTTCCGGTAGGCTGCGGGCTGTGTGTTGTCTCGAGAAAAAGAGGTCTCGACATCCCATCTCGAGGCCTACCTTTTTTTCGCGTCAGCACATAATACCGGCTTGCCACGGGCAGAAACGCTTTCACCACGCCTCCCCTCACGAGAAAGAGGAAGGCGGCCGCGGCGACGCTTGTAGATAACGAACCCAAAACAGCCGCCACCAAGGCTTCCGTCGCCCTTTCGCCTGCCGCCACCGCAACCTCCTCTTCGGGCCAATCCTCCCGCAAAAAGCAGAAGCCCGCGGTCCAGGACCCTGACTCGGATTATACCATAGCGACTCCTGGTAGCTTTTCGGTTCCCGTGCGATCGAAGGAGGAGGAGGAGGATATCGATACTCCGGCGTCTACCAGCATGGAGTCGGATGAGGACTTCATGAGTGTCGGGTCGAGCCCGGATGATTTCCTGGATACCCAAGGAAGTGATGTCGAGAGTCTTGGGGAAGGTTAGTGATTGGGTTGACTACTTTTCTTTGGTTACATGGTCATGCTGACGATATCCTTCTTGCTTACTGTACAGACTTCGGTGACGATTTCGACGGCGGATTCTCTAAAGATAAGGATATCATCGCGACGAAACGAAAGCCTTATGAGGTTGAGTTTACTGTTCTGAGCCCGGAGGATATCGATCGAGAACAGAACTTGCAGATTAACGAGGTCTCCTCGATCCTTGGATTGCCCCCAGAGTCGTCGGCTATTCTGCTGCGATATGGACGATGGAATCGGGAGAAGTTGATCGAGTCATACATGGACCATCCCGAGAAGACGCTGGAGGAGGCAGGCCTCGGCACCAACTTTGATGGAACGCCAAAGACTGAAGTGATACCAGGGTTCGTGTGCGACATCTGCTGCGAGGACGGGGACGACCTTGAGACATATGCCATGCGTTGCGGGCACCGCTTCTGTGTGGATTGCTATCGTCATTATCTGAGACAGAAGATCCGGGAGGAGGGTGAAGCAGCGAGGATAGAATGCCCGAGTGATAGCTGCAATATGATTGTGGACTCGAAGTCATTAGGTCTTCTGGTGACAAACGATCTTAAGGAGAGGTGAGAATTGCAGCATGTCCTTTACTGGCCCTGTTACTGACGCTTTTTAGATACCACGCGCTTCTTACACGAACATACGTCGATGATAAAGACAACCTCAAATGGTGCCCGGCGCCCAACTGTGAATACGCGGTTGACTGCCCTATAAAGCAGCGTGATCTTCGTCGTGTCGTACCCACTGTACAGTGCGACTGTAGGCACTATTTCTGCTTTGGATGCACACTAAATGACCACCAGCCAGCACCCTGCACGCTGGTGAAAATGTGGCTCAAGAAGTGCGAAGATGATTCCGAGACGGCGAACTGGATCTCTGCCAACACCAAGGAGTGTCCCCGATGCCACTCAACGATCGAAAAGAATGGTGGATGCAACCACATGACGTGTCGCAAGTGCAAGCACGAATTCTGCTGGATGTGTATGGGACTGTGGTCTGAACACGGCACTAGCTGGTATAACTGCAACCGCTACGAGGAGAAATCTGGATCAGATGCCCGAAGTGCGCAGGCGCGATCCCGGGCGTCGCTGGAGCGATATCTCCACTACTATAACCGCTATGCCAACCATGAACAGTCCGCCAAGCTGGACAAAGATTTGTATCTTAAGACGGAGAAGAAGATGACGAGCCTGCAGTCGCAGTCTGGACTCTCATGGATCGAGGTGCAGTTCCTCGATACCGCATCGCAGGCACTACAGCAATGTCGCCAGACGCTGAAGTGGACATATGCCTTCGCCTACTACCTCGCCCGCAACAATCTGACGGAGATCTTCGAGGATAACCAGAAGGATCTGGAAATGGCGGTGGAGAGCCTGAGTGAGATGTTCGAAAAGCCCGTACCGGAGCTGGCGAACTTGAAGGTCGACATCTTGGACAAGACGGCGTACTGCAACAAGCGCCGGGTGATCCTCCTCAGCGATACTGCAGAGAACTTGAAAAACGGTATGTCTTTTGTGATTTTTAGTTGCAAATCTATATATTGACATGCAATTTCCAGGGGAATGGTCCTTCAACGTGGAATGGTAGACTACAGTATATAGAATGATCGAACTTACATCCTGTTGAGGCGCCACCCTCCCCCACTACTTCCTCAGCCGGTGGACGAGCTTCACGACGTGCATGACGACAGCGCATATGGTTTCTATCTATCTGAACAACTCTCTCTCTCTCTCACTCCGGCGTCCCTGATGTTCCTGGATGGTTCGTTATTCGTATGTATCAACTACTTCTAGGCGATTTCTGTGCTGTACTTGTCATATATTTCTTCTTCCACATTTTTCTTCGAAACATATTAGTCAGGGGACTATTACTATCCGAGTTTGCCATTTCCATATTCAACGCCTCGAAGAGGGGAGGGATGTATTTGAGAGGCATGCACATGATGTGAACAGACTGAGCCGGGTGGGTAGGTGTCTAAAATTGACAAGTTGTGGGAGATTGTATGAAGAAAGAATGTCCGAGTAGGTAGATGCCTTATACGGAGGATTATAGTTAACAACTATTACAGTCACAAGGTATCTATGCTTATGCACCAGCTAGTCTGACTAGCCATAAAATGGAAATTTCGGTACTGGTGGAGAAAATGACAAAAAAAAAAAAAAAGTGAATATTGTACACAGAATCAACCTCCTACAGAATGATCCCACGTAGCAAGTCAGTCAGTCAGCGATGATCCACTAGATACTAGTTTACTAGCCAGTTACCTTAACTTATCTAGTAAGTAGTAGTAGTAGTAGTAGTAGTAGTGCCAAACGCCAAAAGCCAAATCCCCAACAGCCAACGGCGCCAACTCCAAACACTGACTACTCTCTAGTACTCTACTCAGTCTCATACCCTTTTAAGCCTCGCTTTATATTACAGTATCCCCGAGCCAGGCATATACTTTCCTATTGAAAAGTAGAATAATGAAAAAGAGAGGAATATCCATAAAAGGAACTTAACCCCGAGCCAGCACCCCCAAAAAAAAACACCCGTGGCGAAAAATAATAGAGGAAAAATTTATTCTAGAATATATCTAAAAGAAGTGGAAAGTGTTAATCAATCAGATAAGCCAAACCCGCTCGCTGGCTGGCCCACCCCAAGAGGAAAGGAGGGAAAAAAAATTAGAAGAGATCATCTGCACAGGCTGGCATGCGGCGCCGCGGTGTGCCGTGCCGAAGTTTTGACTGATTGATTGATTGATTAAATGGATTCCTCCGTGCTTCGGCGGTTTGCTTACTTTACTTTACTTAGTCTCCATCTAACTGACTAACTACGGAGTAAAGTAATAGTCTGTTCGCTTCGTGCCGGGGAAAAGAAGAAGGAGAAAGGGATATATATATTTTTTTCTTCCCCCAGGTGATTAGATTAAGTAATAGATTTAATGGATGCTTTTTATGGGAAATTACCGGTTTAATGTCGCTGGATTTTTTTTTATACTGGATGGATGGATCGGGGCGAAAAGAATTCATTATTCATTATTCAAGAGTACTTCGGAGTAGTCGGTTGGGTTATGGAGATGGATGGGGCTCCGTCATCGGATCTGTCGTAGTTAGTCTTGCCTAGGTACTTTGGAGGTTGGTTAGTAAGGTAAGTTGTCTAAGGCAGTCTAGGTCGGGGTTGCTGATTCAGCAGGTAGATAGTCAGTCTGTGTGTGTGTGCCTGTGTGTCTGAGTGCAAGGCAAATGGCAAAAAAAGAAAAAATGGAAATTTTTGGGTAGTTCCGAGGAACACGTTTAGTAGGTAAGTTAGATAGTAATGTTTGGTTATCATGCGGAGGATAGGCACATAGTGGGTGGAAATTGGAATAAGGATAAATTGGGGAGAAGCGGGCTAGAAAACACAAGGAATCAGGATGGAAGGAAGGGAAGGGAGGCAAGGCTGGAATTTATCAATCTCTCCATCTAAATTAATAATTTTACCGAAGGGACGAACTGGTGAAAGTTCCTCCCTCAATCTATTTACCTATGACTATCTTACCCACTATCTAACTATCTACTACTTACTTGGGAGTAGTTTAGTTATGAGAAAGCTGAACTAAGTTAACTAACAAATAAATTACTGCTGCTCCGGGCGGAACTGCCGTACATACTGACTGATACATCCTCAATACCACTGCAACAGCTGCATCCACGCGGGGATTCGGCCCGGTGAAACAGGTTGAAACCACCTCCGAACGGTATTAATGACCCGGGACTTGCTTTGCTCCTTTAGTTCACCTTCAGCAGCAAGAAATTCCCGACTGTCCAGAAAGATTATTATTTCCTATCTTTCGCCAGTCCGTCCTCTGCTCTCCTCCTCTCACCTTTCTCCTCTACTCCCCTCCCTCTGAGGCATTGAATAACTTCTTCCTCCCCGTCTTGTAATCGGGCTGATCCTACCTTTCTCCTCTCCTCGCCTCCTCTCCGTCTCGCTCCCTCCCCTTCCGCCCGATATTCTTCCTCTCGGAGTCCGGCTTCCTCTCCGCTCCGCAAGTCCGTTTTTCTGCGTCGGCATTTCCATCCTCGACCAAGTACCTCTCCACACTCCCAGCTCGACCATCCCCCCCCCGAGCTGTCCGATATTCGATTCTTCTTCTGAAGAATATAAAGTCGCCTCTTTCTCTAGCGACAGCAGCTGTGATACCAAACCAATCAAGCTCCATGGCGTCTCCCGAGCAGATTCCCGGGCAGGAATACGAGTATGTCGACCGTGTTATTTTCTCCTTCGTATTCGTGGCGATTTCGCTTGTTCGCGCAAGGCTATCTGCAGGGACTATCTCGTCAGCGGATATTTCCTGCGATTGACTGCGCTGTCCGAATTATTGCATTTTCCGGAGCGTTATTTGGAAACGATCTGCTTTCGGTGTTGGAATCCGCAGCTAACCCTCCATTCTGATAATAGCTATGAAGCCCTCCCCTCGAACTACGGCTTAGGCCGGAATATGCTGGCTGGCGCTTTTGCAGGAATAGCAGTATGTGGAAAACACCGTGGTGAATTGGTGACTGGGTTCCGGTGGTTGTGCTAATGGGTGCCTGGCTGTTCTAGGAACACTCTGTTATGTATCCGGTCGACTTGCTGAAGGTACGTTGATGCTTGTAGGGGAGGTTTGAGATGGGTTGGAGGTGCTGGAGATTGATCGCTTCATCTCTTCTGTTGGACTTTGCGGGTGCGGTGGGCTAATGGTGGGGTTCGTACAGACACGCATGCAAATCCTGCATCCCTCGAACGGCGGGCTCTACACAGGCTTGACTAATGCGGTTTCGACCATCTACCGGATTGAAGGCTGGAGGACGCTATGGAAGGGCGTCTCGAGTGTTATTGTTGGTGCTGGTGAGTGCGACAATTCCGGGCGCGCCGTTGTGGGTGCTATCGCGGTGGAGGTTGACTTGGTGAATTTCTAGGTCCGGCTCATGCCGTTTACTTTGGTACATACGAGGTTGTTAAGGAGATGGCCGGTGGAAATGTGGACGATGGGCATCACCCCGTAGCAGCTGGTAGGTTTGGGTGTTTCGCTTGGAGGTGCGATGATTTTGGTGCAATTGCTGACGATGCCAAGCGCTGAGCGGTGCGTCCGCAACCATTGCTAGCGACGCCTTGATGAACCCCTTCGATGGTGAGTACTGCGCCATTTGCGCTCCATCCTTCTTAGTCTGTTTTTGGGGGTTTGGCTAACTGAAGCAGTCATCAAGCAACGCATGCAGGTCCATGGCTCGGTACACAAGAGTATCCTTCAATGCGCCCGCTCCGTCTACAAGACAGAGGGTCTCCAGGCGTTCTACGTATCCTATCCCACTACGCTTTGCATGACGGTGCCTTTCACCGCCACTCAGTTTGTCGCCTACGAGTCCATCTCCAAGGTCATGAACCCGTCGCAGGATTACGACCCGTTCACGCACTGCATGGCGGGAGGTCTGGCGGGTGCATTCGCCGCCGGTATAACCACCCCGCTTGACGTTGTGAAGACGCTGCTGCAGACCCGAGGGCTGGCCCAGAACGAGGAGATCCGGTCGGCCAAGGGTCTGTTCAACGCTGCGGCCATTATCAAGCGGCAGTTTGGCTGGAAGGGATTCCTGCGTGGCGCTCGCCCCCGCATCATTTCTACCATGCCCAGCACTGCCATTTGCTGGTGAGTTTCCTTGCAACTTCCGACGGACCCATTGCAAAATTACCCCCGACGCTTGCGCATTGAAAACGGTTGCTGACGCGATCCTACAGGACCTCGTATGAGATGGCCAAGGCCTACTTCAAGGGCCAGGTGGACAGCTAGATGCAAGCACGGCTTTAGCTAACGACCCGATCGCATGAATCCGACACAATCCAGCTCAGCGACCCTTTTTGACCTCTGGTTCCGACCTGACTCGTCCGCGGACCCAAGAAAAAAAGACCCATTCCCCAAGAAACCATTAGTCACATGAATAGGAAGAAAGCCCGACCAAAACCAAAACAGAAAAAAGAAAAGAAACGAACCGACTGAGAAAAAAGATAGTCTTGTTGAACAAGCAGTCAAAAACAGAACAAAACGAAATCTTCGTCCTTGCGAGCATCACGTGCGCAGGACGGACCCGATCGAGCGCTGCAGGCTGAAATGAGCTCAACTGAGCTACGGGCGGGTTGAAGCTTTCTGCAGCTATCATCCCCTTCTCCTTGACCTCCTCTTCCTTTCTCCCTTCCTCTTCTTTTTCCGTCTGCTCTTGTTCTCGTTCGTCCGGGGGATTGCGCCAACTGCCGAGGCTCTCGGACTTAATTAACGCAAGCCCGAGCGATCACGAAATAGAGAACGGACCAGGAAAGGAGGAGGGATCCTTGACCGACTCCGAATGGGGAACCTTAACCTTCTGGCGTGTATTTATCTGTTATGAACGGGGTGCTGATGGCTGGGCTTGATGGACGATGAATTCAGGCCTCCCGGGATGTTGGTGAGTGCTGCTTGTTCGTTATTATTGTTTTGAGTGCTTGGATCTGGGCCCTGAGCAAAAAAAGAAGGGCCCGGCGTATGTTTCAATTCGTGCTTCAATCGCGTTACTACTGGCGTTGGCATGCAGGGGAACATCTGGACGAGTTTCCTATATGTTTTTCACTTCTTCTGGTTGATCCTCGAGTTGCATTTTATAAGTAGTTCTGGTTGGACGTCTTTCATTTTTTGTGCCCCCAATTTTTAATGTTCGGATACAACTTTGCGCATCTGTCGGGTTGGATGCGGATGTTTCTGTATGTACGCTATAGAGGACCGGGATGACCATACTACCTATCTATCTATCTACCTATCTACCTATCTACCTACACCTATCCATGGCTCTTTTTGTGTGCATGAATCAGCTTCCGAGACACGGTGAGACATGATTTGAATGGAATAAATGAAGTTGTAGGGACTCTGGGGGTCTCGAGGGGCGATTCCCAAGCAAAACCGCATGGCCGCCAAAGCCGGTAACCAACGACGTCACGCAGAAAACTGGGGAGGGCAAAACCGCCGCCGGATTCTGTCGTTCTGCTGCTGCTTCTCTTTCCTTGCTTCTTTTCTGGCACTTTTCTTTTCCTCATTACTTATTACTTCCTACTTCTTAACGTTCCCTCCCATGCTTGAGTGTGTTTTTATCTTCCTGTCATTCAATTGATCGCATACTCTCGTTCCTTCTATCCCTCTCCCTCCTCTTCCTCTTCTCCTCTTCTCCTCCCCTCATTTTCATCCTCATCCTTATCCTCTCATCTTGCGGGCGGGTCCTGCACATTCCGCCTTTTCCCCAGCGCTGGATGCATGATGCGCCCCAAGCCGGCGTCTTCGCTCCAGAAGACCTACGATGACTGCTACCTGATGTGCTCCACTGCCGTCTACTTTGAAGGCCAGGTTCGTGACTACTCAATGCTACCTTCCACTGCTTCCCCCCTCCATCCCTCCTTTGCCTTCTCACAAACCCCCTCGCCCTTCCACACTAATACTTACTTGCCCCGATCGGCAAAAACAGCAAAATGAAGAGGAAGCCTTGAGATCTTGGCGCTCCGCCCTGGAAACGATCTACTATCACAACGCTTATCGTGTCCCATCCAAATACACTCCCAAAAACGAGACCGAACGTGCCCTTCAAGAGTCCATCCGCCAGCTCGAGCTTCAATGCCGCGAGCGGGTCGATCTCCTGCAGGCCCTCCGCGAAAGCAGAAAGGATTCCGCCGGTCGATCGCCTCCTCGAACCACACCGGGCTGGATTGGTGACGGCACCGTCCCCGCGGTCGGATATACCGATCTCTCCAAACCCCCCACTATCCCCGGTCGCCCGCCCCCGACCACCACCGTCAGCTCCGACTCTATTAGGAGCGATCTTCAACCCAGCGCCGCGGCTTCGTCCCGGCCCATCCCCATCCCCGCTCAGCGCACCCAGTCGCATTCCTCGGGCAAAACGGACTCCCGCACCCCCAGTCCCGAGCGCCGGAAGATCATGCCGTTCACCCTGCGTACTAGTGATTTCAAGAAATTGGGCAAGAAGAAAGACACCTCCCGACGGAGAGAGCTGCGGCCGGCCGCAGCTTCTCAGGCCGCTGGGCTGGCCTGGGGGAGTATCTACAACACTCCCTCTTCGCCCGACAAGACCGCCAGCGATGCTGCTCTCGCGTCCTCCCGCCAGAGCGCCTCCAATGACCCCAGCTTTCGAAGGGAGCCGGCACCCCTTCGCGCCCATTCTGGAGATGGGCATGTCCCGCGGAAAGCATCAAATCCACCAACAGACGATCCAGATAGCCGTCGCACCGGACGAAAGCCTCGCGTGTCGGACCAGCCTGTCCGGCGGTCGCCTGCGAAGAAGTCGGCATCGAGCACTCCTTCGACGACACCGACGGTCTCCGCGTCTCGCACCCCAACTGCGGAGAGTCAGCTGCGGTCGTCTGCTCGTTCGCAGTCCGCCTCCGCAGGACCTGATGCGAAAGACGCTGTTCGTTCGCAGCCTCCGCCGAAGCCGTCTGTTAAGCCCAAGCCAGTGGCATTGAGGTCGGCCAATCCAACTTCATCTTCCCCTCGACGGTCTGTTGAACCCACGGAGCGCTTAAGCCGGCCACCGACTAAGTCAACATCGCGTCCCCGCCTCGCCCCTACATCTTCTACAGAGGATGCATTGGTTCCGGGTTTAGATCGTATGGCGTTATCGGGCAACAGTCCGGTCCGACCAACACCACAGCTCAAGCGGACCATAACGCCACCGTCGAGTGATCCGGAATCGCTGGGCCCTAAGTCTACCGAGCCAGACGAAGAAGATGCAAAGGAAGATGAGGGCGATATGTATTTGGACATTCTGAACAGGCTTCCCAAGGGGGTAGACGTCACTGCTGCTCGACAGATCCTGAACGATATAGTAGTCCGTGGCGACGAAGTTCATTGGGACGATATAGCAGGTCTAGATGGAGCGAAAAAGGCGCTTAAAGAAGCCGTGGTCTACCCATTCCTCCGGCCTGATCTCTTTTCCGGTCTACGGGAGCCTGCCCGCGGCATGCTTCTATTTGGGCCTCCAGGCACAGGCAAGACTATGTTGGCACGCGCAGTCGCTACGGAATCTAAGTCGACCTTCTTCTCCGTCTCCGCATCGACCCTGACTTCCAAATGGCATGGTGAGAGCGAGAAGCTCGTACGTGCTCTATTCGGACTCGCCAAGGCCCTCGCTCCATCCATCATCTTCGTCGACGAGATCGACTCGTTGCTCTCCGCCCGCTCATCAGGAACCGAGAACGAAGCCTCCCGGCGATCGAAGACGGAATTTCTCATCCAATGGTCTGACCTGCAGCGTGCAGCAGCTGGTCGCGAGCAGAAGGACAAGAAAATCGGCGACGCCAGCCGCGTGCTCGTCCTCGCGGCCACAAACATGCCTTGGGATATTGACGAAGCTGCGCGTCGTCGATTCGTGCGTCGACAATACATCCCTCTCCCGGAGCACAACGTTCGCGAACAACAACTACGGAAACTGCTCAGTCACCAAGTCCATGAACTTTCCGACGAGGATATCGAAGTTCTGGTTCAAGTCACGGAAGGTAGGCAACACCTGCAGCTCTCCCTACATATCTACATTGGGATACCGAAACTAACAGCTATGTGAACAGGCTTCTCAGGCTCCGACATGACTGCCCTCGCCAAAGACGCAGCCATGGGTCCTCTCCGTAACCTAGGCGAAGCGCTCCTGCACACCCCTATGGACCAGATCCGGCCAATACGGTTTCAGGACTTCCAGGCGAGCTTACTTTCTATCCGTCCTAGTGTGAGCAGGGAAGGGTTACAAGAATACGAAGAATGGGCTAGACAGTTTGGAGAGCGGGGGGGATAATCCTTTGGCTGTTCTAGCCTTTGTATCACGGCTATATTTTGCTCCTCATTTTGTCTGGCGTAACCGGCTGCGATGGGATACATGGTGTGCCAGGACAGGGGTAGGTTTATGTCTCATGTTGGATAACGATACGGTATGGTATGGGTATGACATGATATTTTTTTTTTGGTTCGGACGGGGTGTTTTTCTCTTTTTCCTGGGAATGAATGCATTGCTTATGGGTATGGGGTAGGTCAGGTTAGGTCATTGGTAAGGGGCGCGTGTGTGGATGTCAGCGTTTCATCCGAGTTCCATCGATCAGAAATCAAATCCAAGAAATCAAAGTTCAAAGCTCGATGCAATGCAATGCAACCAATCGGTTGACTACGAATTGTAGTAGCTGAAGTAATGTTTCATCATCTATTTCCCCTCTTCTCATCCAGAACCAAGTATCAAAGAGGGGAGAGAGGAAGGGGGTAAGTAAATGATGTAGATAGTGCAACACAGGGATGTAACATCAATTCCCATTATAACATCACCACTCAACTTCTTAGTAAGTAGTAATAGTAGTAGTAAATGATCTATATACCTAATATTAAAGTAATTCATTATTAAAATTACCAACAAAAATATATAACTAAGTAATTGAAACATGAACTACAATATTATACCTGGTTCCTGGATGATATTTTTTGATTTCGATATAATGATCCAGTAGTACTAGTAGAAACAATTGACAAGTTTACTAAACTACCTACTTACTTACCTTAAGCCCGTCTACTAGTTACTTAGTGATTATCTACCGATTTCAAAACAATACTACTTACTACCTTGCTTGCTAGATATCCTATGATGTTTTAAAGATAACTACTACTAAGTAGTAACTATTTAGTAGCTGGAACTAGTTTTTAAGGTCCATCACTTTGAGTTGGAAATTGTGTAAGGAAACTAAGTAAGTACTAACTAACTAACTAATAATACTTATTATATATGTATTTGGATTTAACTATTACTACCAGTACTAACTGACTTAGCTAAGTAGTAGCAGTAGTAGAGATGATCGATCTGTAGTATAGCGTAATTTTAGTACTGAAGTAAGTAGTATAATTCCACGTCAGATTAGGTTCTGCTAAGAAAGCAATCAAAGCCAGTCAACAAACAGATAAGAACAATACTATTACTAGTAGTAGTCAGATTTCCATCATAATATATATCCATTTGAATCCTAACCTAAGCTATGCTAACCTAACCTAACCTAGATTAGATAAAAGAAAAAGTATCTACCAGAATAGAGAGAACTAAAAGACGATATCGTATGAAATGTGAAGAGAGTAAAGAAGTAGACGTAGGAAACATAAAAAGGAGGGCGAGAATGAGAGAAATAACACTCAAGATCAGAGTCATTCGTGGGAAGAAAAGAAAAGAACAGGGTATATAGAATTCCGTGGATAGAGGTGAAGTCAGAGGACGGACATATAGGTGAACCAGCGTGCGTGGAGATAGGCGGTCACGGATGGACAAAGGGAATGATAAGTGCGAGGCAGAAATTGGTTGGTTGATTTGCATGGTGTAAGGAAATATCATCGTGGTGATCTCAAGAGCGAGATGGGGGTGTTTCGTAGGTGAAAGAAGTGCCTCTGGTAGACCAGCGTGGCAACCATCTGTAAAAAGAGGTCGAGACATGTATCAAAAACAAAAGAATTGGTATCCGGATTCGACTCCTACAACTGCAGCTAGCAAGAAATGGAATGATAAAAAACATAAAAACCCAAGCCTGATCAGGCTAGATATCTCAAAAACCATCACGAACCTCTCTCCCAACCGCGTATCATCACCTCTTTCTACAGGTCTATCAAACTGCCACCCTGTTGAGGTTGATGGTACGCCTGTTGTCCGCCCCAAGGGTTGTTGGCTGGCTGTGCAAAGCCCGTCTGCTGCGGCACAAATTGCTGCTGCTGCGGCTGCTGGCCGAAGAATGGGTTGTTGCCGGTGCGTGTTGCCCGTAACCGATCCAAACCCTGACCAGCGGAGTTGACAAATGTACCAGGAGCGGTGTGCTGCGCAGGAATACGCAGATCGCCAGTGTTGCCAAAAGTGTCCTGACCTTCGCCGGACGCCAGCAGCGCATTGAGCTGGGCGCGGTGCGGATCTTGCATTTGCGGAGGTGTGCTCTTCGGAGGTCCGAAGCTCTGCTGTGGCGGTGCAAGGTTCTGTGGGGACTGGAAGTTGGCGATTGGGTTGAACGAAGTGGTGGCTCGCTCTTCAGCCAACGTGTTCAATGACGGGGGTCCAGTCTGTGCGGGCTTGGGCTGGAACTGCTGCTGCGTACGCTGCGCAAATGGGTTGTTGGATCCAGTGGGCATGGGCCTCAGCGCGTCCGCCGATTGCTGGTTAGTGGCCCATGGGTTGTTGGTGCCGGTCGACAGGAAGCTGTCCTGCTGTTGCTGATTCTGGAACTGCTGCTGCGGCTGTTGCTGTTGCTGCTGTGAGAAGAAGTCGGTGCTGCCGGTAGCACCCCAAGGGTTGTTGGTATTGAAGGCAGTGTGTTGTGGTTGTAGCGTTGCTTGCGGCTGCAGGAAGTTCTGCTGCTGTTGCTGCTGTCCATAAAGGTTCTGATCGAATGCGGAGGGCTGGCCCTGGAATCCATTGGCGTATCCGTTGGGCATACCCGTCATCTGTCCCTGGAATCCAGTGGGCTGCGCATATTGGTTGTTCAGGTAGCCCGTAGTCAGGGGTTGCTGAGGATTGATGGGGTTGCCGAACCAGTCGACGGCGTTCTGCTGCTGATAGCCCTGGTTGTAGCCAGTGGGCTGCGCCTGGGCAGTCGGCACAGGAGCGTCGTCAAAGAGCGACTGCGCATTGCTCTCCTCCAACTCGCGCTTGCGCAGCTCTTCCTCTTCCTTGCTGAGCTTGATCGCCCGAGCCAGGTCCTCGTCATCCTCGGTTCCGGCCTCCTTGGCGCGGCGCTTGCGTTCCTCCTCGGCTTCGTACTTGCTCGCCTCAATGGCCAACCGATACTCGGCATCCTCGTCATCGTTGGTCGCACGGCGACGTTCCCGCCGCTCGCGGCGCGGCGGCTCTTGCCCATAACCTTGGTCATCGAGTCCGCTCACACGGGACTTCCACAACTTGCGGTCGGAGCGCTCACTGCGCAGTCTATCTTCGTCCAGAATGAGGGATGTAAGTTCCTTGGCGGCAACACGGACTGCCCAGGGACAAGTTAGCCACCACACGGGTTCGGGGATAAGCAAATCCACGGAATAGGGGGAGCCTACCATTTTGACCAACATCTCGACCATCCTCATCAACGTATTGGAACTCGCGCAAGGTCTTGATGATGTAGACGTTCTTTCGGGCCCAGGTGACGACCAACTCGGAGCCTTCGTGTAGACAGTAATCGAGGACCTTCAATGACTTGAGTACGTGGCGCCAGTTCTTGCCCTTGTCGTTCAAGCGCTTGTCCAGCATATCCATGATCTCGTAGAAATCGGTCGGGCTAGATGATTACACCGGCGTCAGCTTCGATCGAGGACCACGGGAGCCAATGGCGGGGGAGTAAGTGGCCTACCTGCTAAACGTCAAGGCAGCAATCTCTGCCATTTCGGTCCCCGTAGGGCCCCAGGGGTCATTACTTGTGGCTGTACGAAGCGAATTCACATGTTAGCAGAGTCCGAATGTCAAATCCGACCTTTTGTCAGGGATACCGTCCCGACCGACACCGTAGCATGATGCCCGATTGCGAAGGACCCCCAGAAACCCCGGACCGAAGGAACAGACGGAGACGTACCATTTCGAACTTTGACCTGAACGGAGGAATAACCCTTGGTCACGTTCTTGACACTGCGCACGACTTTGGACATTGTGGCGAGTTGGTGGATAGGGGGTGAAGTTGATTGTAGGTGGGTGTATGTGGCGTGGGGGATGGAGGTTGTAACGACGGCGGGAACTGGACCCTCGCAATGACGGACTCGGATCTCAATCCCTTCGCGGGGGGAGGAAGTGGACGGGAACGCGCGACACACGGGCGATGGCTTGGGAGGGGGAAAAGAGATAGATTTGGGGAGGTAAGTGCGATGGGAGCAGAGCCAGCCCGTCTCTCCTTATCGCGCGGTGAAAGTGGGGGAGGATGATGGGGAGTGAGAAGTGGGAGTAGAGGTAGTAGAGGTGAAGGAGAATGAGGAGGAAGAGGTTAAGGTGGGTGAGAGAGAGAGAGAGAGAGAGAGAGAGAGAGAGAGAGTAGTAACAGTCAGTCAGTTGGTGGCTGTTTAAGGCGTTAAGGTCGGGGGAGTCTGGCGAGTGGCTGAACTGAAGAGGAACTCCGGCGGAGTATGTAAGCCGGATGCACACCAGTAGTTAATTATTTTAATTAACAAGAAAACAGGGGGGGAAAGAGAGATGGATGATGATGATCGCTTGCACAACGGGAAAAGGAGGGAATGGAGAGAGAGAGATAGAGGATGGGGACGGGATGAGAATGGAGAGGGTTCCAGGAAAGATGTTCAAATGGATGGATTGATGTTGATTGTACCAGATGAAGAGAAAGAGGAAGAGAGAGAGTCAGTTTTGGTGGGCACTTACACCGGGAGATGACGACGCAAGCCTCAAACCAGCCAAAGTTTATCCAAACCACGACCGTTTTACTTTTTTATTTCTTTTTTACCCAATTCGTTTCCAGAAGGGTTCAAAGGGTTGAAAACTCAAATTGGAGATTTGACAATCTCGAAAATGGAAATCGAAATCCGGGGGAGAGCAATAAGGGATGGAGAGTAGGAGGGAGATAATAATTGAGGGCGTGGGTACTGATCAGGCACTACAATACAATGTATATTGACTATAGCGAAGTAGAAGAAGGGAGGGAAAAGAAAAAAAGGGTCCACGACGAGGGAAAGATGGAGGGAAAGATGGAGACAGTTACAAAAGTAGTCAAGTATCAATCAGACCATGGCAGAATTTCTTCAAAATGACACCATCCGTTTAGTTCCTCGCCTTCCGGACAAATCCTACGTACATACACCGTCCAACGATTGGTGATTCTTGCCACTTGGTTCGGGGGCGGTTGCTTATATTGTTAGTTATTACTTTTGCCTCGACAGTACGAATTATTCTTACTCCGGAGTATGCCGTGGGTTAACCAGCACATACTGTAAAAACATAGAATAATAATTCATCTGGGTATTATATAAATAGTAGGAAGTATCCACCGACGTCATCGGCCGGGTCACTGCAGCAGTCCCCTCTCTTCCCCCCCAAAACACGTTCCTGACCAGCAAAACCCTTGCTGCCCTGCAAAGTAACTACTATTAACTGATGATTCATCCAGAATCTTCCCCAAAGCAAGGAATGAAATTGGACTCTCCTGGGCTCAACTCGTATCTGACAATCTACTGGCCTATCTAGATAGTATCGATCTAGTATCTCCATGTAATTCCCGGGGATGCATCCAGGCAGCAGGATTGGCAGTCCGTCGTGTTCCGTCGGGCTTGACCTTCTCTCCCGTCTTCAAAACGCAGACTGCAATTCTCGAACTCATATTTACTACTAGCTTCATACTACTATTTACTTCCCCCCTAGAAACCCTAACACTCATAAGTACCTTAGTACTGCTAGATGCTCTCAAATTCATAATCTATCAGGTTATTCCTGACACATGCAAATCCCTGGAATCGTAGAACATAAAGATGATGGAAATATAAACCTCAGAAAATGGAAGAGAAATGGGTAAGAAGGAAATACAAGGCAACCAGTGCATCATCTACGCACGGCGACTCTCCTCTTCCAGACTCAGATACTTCGCCTCCGCCCCCTTGATGCATGCAATGTTCGCCCCCAGCTTGTTCAATGTCTCCACGTACTCGTCGTACGGGTCCGAGTCGAACACAATGCCTCCGCCCGCCTGCAGGTAGGCCACCCCGTTCTTCACCATCATCGTCCGCAGCGCAATGCACGTGTCCATCGCCCCCGGCATCTCCGTCTGGCCATCCGCGCTGGCGATGTTATACCCGAAGTAGCCAACCGCTCCCGCATACACTCCGCGCTTCTCGCCCTCCAACTCCGCAATCAGCTGCATCGCCCGCACCTTGGGCGCTCCTGACACCGTGCCCGCCGGGAAGATCGACCGGAACGCATCGAACCGCGTCTTCTCCGGCCGCAGGATGCCCGACACCTGCGACACCAGATGCTGCACGTGCGAGAACTTCTCCACCACCATCAACCGGTCCACCTGCGTCGTGATCGGGTCGCACACCCGGTTCACATCGTTGCGCGCCAGGTCCACCAGCATCACGTGTTCCGCCCGGTCCTTGATGCTGCTCGTCAGCTCGTTGGCCAGTGCCGCATCCTCCTCGGGCGTCTTCCCCCGCTTCACCGTGCCCGCAATCGGGTGCGTGATAATCCGCCCCTTCTCCTCCTTGACCAGCAGCTCGGGACTGGCTCCCACCAGCTGGAAGTCTTCGCAGTCGATGTAGAAGAGATACGGCGACGGGTTGACCGTGCGCAGGTGACGGAAGAGGTTGAAGGGATGGAGCGACGTCGGCCGGGACAACCGCTGCGACGGCACCGTCTGGAAAATATCACCCTTGGAGATGTGCTCCTTGAGCCGTGTAACATGGCGCTCGTATCCTTCCCGTCCAATGTTCGATGTGTACTCCTGGTTCTGAATGATCGGGCCTTGAGGCGGAAGAGCGTAGTCTGGTCGAAGAAGGACGTCAATGGTCCGCTGGAGAACCTCTTGTCCTTGGCGGTAGACGGACTCAAGTTCCGAGTCGTTGCCGGGAATGGAAATGTATGTGATGACCTTGACGACCTGGAAGAAGTGATCGAAGGCGACAATCGTGTCGAACAGCATGAAAAGCGACTCCGGAATTTGGAGGATATCCTTCATCGGCCGAGCCGTCTTGGGCTCGAAGTACCGCACGCAGTCATATCCCACGTATCCAATGGCACCACCAGTGAGCGGGGGCAGTGTCAAGCCAGGCACCGTCGCAACCCGAAAGCCGGAGAGTTCCTGCTCCAGGATGGGCATGGGGTCGCACTCGGGGCCATGACCGGGACCGGTCTTGATGATTTTGCGGGGACCTAGACGGAGGCACAGAAATCGTCAGTCTATCAGACTACCCCGCCACACTATAGCATCGAGGGACATTGCTGCATACCAGCACCGACGAAACTGTATCTGCCGATAGTCTCGGTCGTCGCAGCACTCTCGTAGAGGAAGGACAGTTTAGATCTGGACAAGCGGACCACGTTAGCGCATCTGTGCTTGCCCGCAAGCCATGTGGCCATCTTGCCGAGCGCCACTCACTTCTCCGCGATCTTCAGATAAGCCAATGTGGGGGTCAACAGGTCGGCCGGAATCGACGTAGTCAACGGAAGGAGGTTAGGAGGAAATTGCGCATTTTTCGACTGGGCGATAACTTCGCTGGCGGTCTCGAGGGACGGCACGACGGTAATCTGCGTGAGTCACATGGGGACATGAAATCAGTATCATATCAAACGACCCTCCGCGGGGAAATTCATCGAGTAGCAAGAATGGAAACAGTGATTGCCTGTAGAATAAAAGGAAGAGGCACTCACAGGTGGCGCCATCTTTGCGAGTCCGAAAGCGATGGGAATTCGACTTGTGCGGGGAGAAGAAGGAGGGAGGAGGGGATTTGATTGAGAAATAAAAAGAGGCTAAGTTCGGGAAGCCGGAGGATCGGAGTATTTGCGGTGCTGACTGGGGACGGAGTAAATTGGGGAGGATTTAATCAAACAACTACTCGATACCGTCGCAGCTCCACAATTTATTGGGCGATATGAGCAGTTGCAAACCAACAGAGATAACCAACAGGACTGACTATCTCTTAAAGGAAGGATGACAAGTCGTCGAGGTTTAAATGGCAGGCGGCAAATTGTTGGCCAATTCGACTTCTGGGACCCCAAAGCGGGCTAGCGTGGATGGAAGGAATGGTTATCGAAGGTTGATCGAATCGACCGGTTTGACCGTCTTTTTCTCTCTGTCCCAGAAGGAAGCCTGCCGACGTATCTTTATTGCAGGTGGCAGTGTTTGTGTTTGCTACCCATCGGGAATCGAGATCATCTTTGGGGGAGATCTGAGGGCGCACGTGCTCTTCAGCTGGGATCTGCCTGTTCCTTCTTCTCTGCTCTTCCAATCCCTGTCATCCTTGCCCCGGTTGCTGTGGAAGTAATCCCCGTCGCCCGCGGCTGGCTGATTGTCCCCTCTTCAGTCTCTCGAACACAACAACTCCACAGCCAGATCATAACTGACCGCACTAGAGTGAGTTGTTCTGCACCTGGGCCTATAAACAGAAAGCTACCCACATCTCATCGTTCATACTGACAGCGCAAGACACGTATATTCCTGCAGCCCGTGCAGCCTGGCTGCAGCCCGACATCCCTCCTTGCTACCGACTACTACCCTTTTCATCACGCACGCCTGTATTTACTGAACCTCTTTCTGAGAAACAATCAAATCATTAGATTACATGGTCCTAACCCTAGCCAACCATGGAACACCCGCCTCCATCTCATTACGATGAGTTATCCCCTCCTTCCTCGGTAGCGGGCCAGATCTGGGACATGGCGCTCACGGACCCCGACTATGCCTCCCATATCCTTGACTCCAACGACACCGCCGCTCCCGTCTCCGCGCGTCTCACAAGACTAGCCCATCTGGCATCCCACTTCAATCCGACCTCCAAATCCGACTCCATGACCCTTCACCACTGTCTCGAGACCCTCGAGTCCCTGCTGGACCCACGCCCAGCCTTGACGCAAGAGCTCGCCCGATGCCGTCCTATAAGCCATTCCCGACAGTCCAACTCCATCGCTTCCATCTCCACGGCCGACTCCCAAGATTTGGGTAATTCTGTCGCTTCGCTCGAAGAGATGTCACACCCTCCTCTCAAGGATATCTTGAGAGAGGTTACGACACTCAAAGTGGAATTCGACCGTCGTCGCAAGGAGTCGTCCGAGATATATGAGTTGCTCACACGAGAACGCGAAACACTAGCCCGGAAGATCGGCGAACTAGATGATGAAATTCACGAACTGTGAGGAACCCCAGGGACTTGTCGGTTTATGCTGTGGCCAGGATCGCTAACTTATCCTGTAATCATAGAAATACAGACATCCTCGAAGACACCGCTGAGCGGGAAGCGATCCAAGGCACGATACGAGGGCTCGAGAGTTGGGTGGATGAATGGCACAAACAGCGCCTATTGATTGCCGCTAAGAAACAGAGTGCTGCCTCACGGCGAAATGGCCAACGAAGATGGACGAAATGCAAAGTCGAAGAGGTCGAGGGCGACGGCGAAGCCCTGTTTGAAGGAATAACGGCATGGATGCGAGGATGGAAGGACGTCGAGGAGGTTTTTCGCATCCGAGAGCAGAATCGCACTTTGAGAAGGGAAGAAAGACAGAAGACACGGGCAAAATACGTATAAAATGAATTTTCGGCAGGAATGGGACGCTGGTCGATAAGGACGAAGGCGGGAATGAGATATTGTGATTGGGTATCAAGCGTATCATCCCACACCGCAGCGGATGAGAAAGCTGCTGAATCATTCGCCTGAAGACCGAGCTTAGGGCGATCACTGATCGATCTGTCCGAGAAGAAATGGTACAGTGCAAGAAAGTAAAGGGCAAAGAGAAAGAAGTCAATGAAGCCACCGTAACCATGTAGAGTTGCCAACCACCACCGCGTTTTTCCTGAAGACCCAAGCTGCGCCGTTTAGTATGGTCTAATCCAAAATCATGAAGGTAGAACTAGAGATTATGGTACTGAAAGTAGATTGAAGGATCTCTGGAGTGACAAGGATGTCTGAACACGCTCCCACATCATGGCACGTCGGGGCCTGCCGAGAACCGGGAGCGGAGAGACGAGCGCTAGCAGAGGTGCCGACGCTAAGTGTGCAGCACCCGGCTAGGGATGAGTCCGGCCTGCCTTCGTCGCAAAAATAATAACGTCAAATGTGTATCGGATGGCTTTATTTACCATTTTCTTAATGTACTATCGAGAAGTAAAAGTTCGTAACGCAGCCGGCTCGCACGTCTCGTAAGAATCAGCGCTGCAGATTTACGATGGCCAGCTATTCAACGATAATCAGTGACAATGTTTCACACGTAACGGCCAGGACGACATACCTGGTTTCCATAGCCGAAAGCAAGCTTTTTGCCATCGGTATCCCACGCTAGACTGCGATCCGGCACCGACTCCGCAGTGCCATTGTGTCCATTCACCATGGGACTAGACTCTTCCTCCTTTTTCTGCTCTCCGGGACCCGGCACTTTCCATGTGGCCAGCGCAGTGCCTCCTCGCTGTGCATTCCAGATGAACAAACTCTCTTTACTGGCAGCAGCAAGGGCGTATCCGTCGGGAGAGAAAGTGCTAGCGAGAGCGGGTGCCGACGGGCCGAGAAACAATCGGTGGATACAGTTGAACTGTTTGGACTCCAGATCCAAATGCCATACCTTGACCGTGTCGTCGGTGGAGGAAGTGGCCAAAACGATTGTTTGTGCTGTTTCTGGTTGTTGCTGCTGTTCCATATTGGGCTTCAGCTCGATGGCCGTAATGTCGCCTTCATGGGCACCCTCATGGCGCATGTCATGGGTAGGCACCCATAGTGTAGCATTGGCGGAAGATGCAGTTACCGCCACGGATGAAGAACCGGCATTCGCACAGCGGATGAATGACCAGGGCTGGTCAGGGTCGCCAGATGAGAACGTCTTGGCGATGTGGATACTCGAATCGACATCGCATTGATAGACCGTCCCGTTACCACAAGCAAAAGCCTGGTTGGAGCCCAACCAACAAAGGTCAAAGATTGATCCCTCGATAACCTGAGGCGATGGGAATTCGTCCGGTCGTAATGAGTCGTCCCAGAGCGCTAGCTCAGAGATTCGGCTGTCCGAGGCAACCACGATCAAATGGGACCCGCTTTCCGCCCATTGCAACCCAGTAATCATCCGCGGTACTTCGGGAAGAAGATCGACCGCATTGCCAGAGACGTCATACATAGTGATGGAGCCTCTCATGTCATTGTAGGTCGCGACGGCCAGCTTCTGGCCCAATGGATCCCAGGCGACTGCCGAGACACAGGTGCTATCCCCCTTGTTCGCTACGAGTTTCTCCTGTACCGGATCCGAGGATGAAGACAGCCTCCACAGGCTGCAGAAGGTATCACCGGCGGCCACGACGGTAGTAGGGTCCCGAGGGCGCCAGAGAGTGCGAGTCACGTGATCGTCACTAGCCAGATCGAGGATGGCGGTGTTGGGCCCAAGGTCGGCGGCCTTGGCGGGGGTGATCTGGACGCCAACGCTGTGGCCGGTGGTTAACGTGAAGGTCGGCGCCACCGGTGCTGGTACTGATGCTGGTTCTGGTTCCTGGTCCTGCGAATCCGGTCGGCCGCCCATGCTCACATCTCCGTCACCGTCCACCTCTATGTCGGCTTTTGGAGGCAACTCATCGACTACCTCGGACTTATTTTCAGTCGTTACTCCATTAGTGTCAATTTCCATGGGAGTTTCATCACCGTTGGTCTCTCCGCTCTTGTGCGGCTTCTTCACGCCGGCGGGAGCTTGAGGTGGTGCTGGTGCTGGTACTGTTGGTGCTTGGGGTGCCGCCGCCGCCGCCGCCTCGGCCGTCAAGTGACCGTTAATCACGCCGCCATCTCGCGGAACTTTGCTTGTAGGCGAGACAGGCGCCTGGTCTGTGCCAACGCCTGCCTCTCCGGGGCCACTTTGACCCTTTTCAGTTTCGGGTGCCAGCGGCGTAGGCCCGAAAAAGTAGTCAGACGATGTGAAGGCCGTAGGATTTCCATCCTGTTCATTTTATTAGTGCTCATGTTTTTTTGTGTATGCATGTTACTCGAAAAATCTTGAGGCGCGTAGCAAAAAATATCAATGAATATCATACCCTGTCGAGCGAATGCTCTAGTTCATGATACTGCAGGCCCTTTTGTACCAGGGATACTAGAGCATGAGTTTTGATGTATGGGGCAAACGGCAAACTCTGCGGGTCACGATTCCACGCGCGCTGTAAGGTGAGTGCAGCCTCGCCATGCCCTGTGGGAAAGTTAGTTAGCTTTTCCCGTGAAGAAAGGATAAGCACCAAATCATAGGGAAAGAATATTACCTGACTCTTGAAGATACCTATATGGAAGTTAGCAATGCATACAAACGGTCGAGAAACCCAATGACGCAGCATGGTAGGTACGTGTTACGGCAGAACGAGGTTGCAAAGGGACTCTGATACATACCTCCATATTAGGTAATTGACGTGATGCGATGTGAGATCGGGTTGTGCCATTGTTACATGTATGACAGCTAGTAAGGTGGAGGGTCCGCTAGCATGCCAAAAACGAAAGGCTTTCTCCGTGAAAGGTAGCAAAGGAGTTAGGCGGGGATTGCTGCAAGGCAGGGACTGGAGAGTACAATGGTCCGAGATGCTGCCAAGTCGAGCGCACCAAAGGTTTAGATGAGGAAGAAAACTCTTCTGACAGCTTCCCTCTCAAACAGAACCTGAATGAGAGACAGGAGGTCTCTGGACGAGAGGGGAGGGTCCGAGTGGGAAAGATGCAGCCAAGGCTGTGACAAGGGAGACGTTCAGTTCAGACGATACTTGGGGAAGGGCGGATGTGAGTAAAACACGAAAAACGCAGGCTGGCGGATTAGGCGTGAGAAAAACTAAACCGAGGACCAGTCACAAAAGCACATTCTACATGCGCCTTGTTGCTGGACGGGGTTGGTGATGTATGGTGAAAGGAACACGAAAGACTGTTCTTTGAGACAGAGGGACAAATTGAAGGGAGAATGGAAGAGAGGGAGGGAGTGAAGAGCGAATAATATCGGGACGGGAGGAAATCGACACCAACGTGTGGCTTAAAGATAGCAGACCCGCTAGCGAACTGCAAAGGCCGGAGGGAGCAACACCAGAACCTTCGGGGAGAGTGGAAGAAGGCGGATGGACGGATAGACGGGGAGGAAGAAGAGAAAGGGAAGAAAGAGAAGCAGTTCAGATCCGGAGCGGGTGAATGAAACGAAATGATGGAGAAAGAGAGTTATGGGACCGACAGACAAGCCAGACAAGACACGACCGGCCGATGACCCCAGGGAAGCGTATGAGGAACTCCCGTTAATTAGTGCCAAAGGTAGTTCGAACAGACCAGACCAGGTAAGGTACAGTCGTAGGATCGTGGAGGTGGTAGGGGTCGAGAAGAACAAAGTGAGGTAGGTTAGTTAGTCAGTGTCAAGTTAGTTAATTAGGCTAGGTTAGCAGGTACGTAAAGGTACGTAGGTACTTGGTCGACTGACACTTTTTCGACACTCGACAGTTTTGACCCTCACAGTCACGACAAGACAAGACAAGACAGTTTCCACGCCGCTGTGAAGTCCGTCTAAAGGTTTAGTCAAAATTTACGGGTCCAACCACGCCCAAACCAGGCCAAGGGTAAAAAAAGAGCAAAAAAGAAAAGAAAAATTCAAAGCTGGAATTTCTCCAGGCGCGGCTCTGGGACGCTGTTTCAGACGCTGAACGCACCGGGAGTGGGCATTTGGGCCTGGGACTTTTTCGGGGGGTGGGCTTGACTCGTTGTGGCGTCTAGGCCACGGCTAGCGTGCAGCTGCCCTCCAACCCACTTTGGGGCCCCTGGTCCATCCCAACTGGTCCAACTGCTCCATTCGGTCCTTCTGACGGCCTCCCGATCGGCCTCGACGCTTATCCTCTTCCGGTTAGCCGGCACCGGCCCTTTCATGGTTCGATTGGCCCTTTCTCTTTGTCGTTCGCAGGATTTCTGTGCATTTTGCGCATTTTTCGTGGCCTTTTTTTCCTTTTCCACCATTTTCTGATTTTTAATTTTTGATTTTTGATTTTCCCTTCCTTGAAGGTGCTGATCGTGGCCAGTTAGATACCTTAGGCAGGATGTTGGTCATGTACCTACTGGGATGGTACCTACAGATGATGTCGCTTTAGTTCTTACCTTGTTCATCTGCAGATTTAAAGACTGCCTAAAGTCATGATACTTGGTTGAAGGGCGATAATTTCACTGACTTTCGGAGAATATGACTAAATTTGAGGGATCAGATCACCCAAATGCAGTCTTAACACGGACTATCTGAGTTAGTGGTCTGCTTCATGCCCAGATTCAGGTTTTCTCCTGCCAGCTGATAGCCTGGATCTAAATCTGGGGGCAGTTCACCCGTCTGCTAGGAATGCCGATCAGTTGTACATCCTTCTGGAGTTCTGTACATGCATGCATTGATGATTGTGGGCTGGAATCCATTCCCCCCGCCGGCAGAAAGGTTGCTGTGAAGGTCTCCCCCGTACGACTCTTGGTGCTAAGCAGTCTAAGCTTGCTTACCTTAGCTGCACTTTCTTCGCTCTTTCTTCAGTGGTCGGTCCACTTAGAAAGTCTGGCGGGTGGGTAACTAGGACATCACTGTAAATCTCCCTTGGGCTGAGCCACACCCCAGCGCTTGAGCCACACGTGACCCATGCGATCGGTTTAATCTCAATTCCTCCCCTGACACGGGTTCTTTTTGTCATGCATTCTCTAGAAGACTTCCACAATAGCCAGTGTGAGACCTGAGAAGGGATTATTGAGGAGACCCGGAAGCTTATTGAGCGGAAATGGCGCCGATAGTTATTTTGACTCGTTATCAGTTCATGCCAGGCTGATTCGTAGTAGGCTTAAATATGAAAGGTAAATGATCAGTAGAGTCATTGGCGATGCGACTGGTGTCTGTCAGCAGATCCTGTCCCACACACAGAAACTTCAACGCCAACTCATTTTCCGCAACAAATCCAACGGTGGTAGACAACCGCTGGTCATCCATGTTTCCCGATGACTGGATGCATTGTTGCCTTTCAATAATAACAAATGCCACGGCGGAGGCATGAATGGCGGCCTTGCGGATGCCATGCAAGGTATCCAATCAGAGAGACGCGATCCCGTCCTTGCAGGCTTGTCCGAAAATGGAACTCCCCCCAACGCCGCCCCGAGCGACTAGTCACCAGCGAGTCCAGCTTGTAGTACGGATCATCTGGTCTGGATGCATTTCACTTCTCCTTCCCACACTTCCTTTCCCCCAACCCCCGTTGGGCTCTGTCAACAGCCTGCGGTTTAATAGCCGCAAGAGCGTCCTCTGACACCATGGCGCCTCGAGTCAATATCCCTCCAGCGACCCGCATCTGTCTTATCAGCCTTCTCACCCTCTCCTTGCTGTACAATATCGCCCGATGGCGGCAACTTGACACCACGCCCGGCGCACCCGCCATCACCCCGATTATACCCTATTTGACACTCGTTCCTTCACAATTTCTTTTCTATCCGTGGACCCTCCTTACTGCGACATTTGTGGAGCAGAACATCTTCACCGTGCTTCTCAACGCGGCCACTCTCTTTTATGGCGGAAAATACCTGGAGCGCGCATGGGGATCCCGGGAGTTTGCGAAGTTCATCCTAGCCATCGCCGTCATCCCGAACGTGGTGATTGTTCCGCTCTATATTCTAGGAGCTGCCCTCAGGAGCGGCTCCAGCAGCGGGTACGCCTTGTTCTCTCATGACGAATGCACAACATCTTGCGCTTTCCCTACTGACTCACCGACTTCAAGCCTCACGCAGATATGCGGCGGTATCTCGATTCAAGCATCCTTCCTCGTCGCCTTCAAACAACTTGTCCCTGAGCATACGGTGACGATCTTCAAAGGCTTGGTCAAAATGCGGGTGAAGCACTTTCCCGCTCTGTTTTTGTTCCTGAACACGATCAGCGGGGTTGTCTTTGGCACGCATGTCGCAGCGATTCTTGCCTGGCTCGGCCTCTTGACCAGTTGGACCTACCTTCGCTTCTTTAAACGCCAGCCTGATCTTACCGGCACATCGACCGATGGGCTAGGCATCAAGGGTGATGCCAGCGAGACTTTTGCGTTTGCATGCCTCTTCCCGGACGTGCTTCAGCCACCAATCGCGTTTATATCCGATCAAGTTTATGCTCTGCTGGTCGCCGTCAGGATATGTACACCCTTCTCCGAGGAAGACATTGCCTCGGGTAACCAGCAGGTTCTGGCACGGGGCGAGGCAGGTCTTCCCAGTCTTCTTTCCAACCATCGCAACGGACGGGCCATGGCGAAGCGGGAAGAAGCGGAGCGCAGACGTGCTCTAGCACTCAAGGCTCTCGACCAGAGGCTTCAAGCAGCAGCAGCAGGAAGAGTGCAGCCAGCGACCTCTGCAGCGAATCAGCAAGGATCCAGCCATACTCAGACTCCGACACCCACAGTCTCAGCGGGCCAGAGTATGTTGGGAGAAACCAGCTATACCCCCGACCATGCGTGAAGCTGCAGCAACTCTACAAAGCATGGTTTCATGGAGTTTGGTCGGTTGTTTGGGATAGAATGCAAAGGAACAATGCAACGTAAAGTGTTTCTGCTGTTCAGTCTTGTCATATACCAACCTTGGATTTTCTTTTGCAAGTGAGGTCTTCCCAGCAAGTGCAATTGTCTGACATGGGGCGGGGCTTGTTGGCCTTCACTGTACAAAATGTCTTCTACCTTTTTTCTTTTCCACAATGATGAATGAACATGATCACATACAAATACACTAGTGCAGAGCCTGTGAAGGGAAAATAGTAGACCGCCGCACTACATAACATCCTTAACAATACCATATACCCATGATCTCAGCAAAGCACAATGTATACTTGCAACAGAAAGAAAAGAAATTTCCCCAAACTACATAATCGAACAGGAATAATACAGAGAGATATATGCTATGCTACAAGACACGACGCCCCAAGGTCGTATACTATATTCCCACACAAAGCCAAATCACCCATCCACATTACCACTCTAAAGATCAACCCTACAACTGCCTCAACTTCTCCACCTCACCCCTAGCCTCCTGCAACATACGTTCCTGATCCGCCTTAGCCTGACGAATAGCCGCTATACGCGCGCGATCCTTATCACTCTGCTGCCTCAACTGCTCCAACTTCTGCAACTCAGACTCCTGCTCCGGAGTAGGCTGGATTTCCTGCGCGCCCGTCATGTTCTTCACCTTAGCCCAGATATCCTTGTAGTCAAGGTTCTTCACATCCAGCACAGCGGCCTGCTCCGCCTCTCCGGGGGCCGGGGCATGCTTGTCCGTGACGTCCTTAGCGGAGAGCAGGGATGCGGCATTGCTGGCGCGCTCGGCGAAGTAGATCGTCAATGCGGCGGGACCTTCTTGTTCCTCTGTTTGGCGCACCGTCATGGGAATCGCTGGGTTGTAGTACTTGAGTCGGGGGAGGCAGTTGCGCCAGAAATGTCGCGCGCCTTGGTGTCCGCCGTAGATCTTGCGGGCGTATGTGAGGTGCAGCCGCGTGATGGCGGGGAATTCTTTCGAGGCGTTTGCGACAGTGGGGAGGGTTGCGGCTCCGGTGCCGACTTGGATGTTGAGGAGCTGGGATGGGGTGTTAGTAGGGTTGGGATTGATGGGTTTCTCCGGTGGATGGTTGGGTTGGTTGATTGATTCCGATATGGGAGGGATGGCATCGGTGGGTAGAATTTGGGGTTGTCGGGTTGGTTTGGAGTTCAAGGGGAGCTGGATGAGATTGTAGATTGAGAACATACCCTCTGTTAAATAGCAATGTTAGTATCTGGGTCATTGATAATGGGTGATGGTGGTCAACTTACGGTTTTCAGCTTCCGCATCCGCTTGAAGAGGTTGACCATTGTGACGGTTGGAGCGCCTGAGCGACTACTTTCTGATGGGAGATATGTCAAGGGATGGGATTTTCAGGTCGCGCCCGGCTGTAATTGATCTGGATGGGCCGACGACGGGGTGGTTAGATGGCTGCTGATTCGGAGCTGTCTCCCGTTGATTTTTGGGATCCCCGGCGGAAAGAAAAGCAGCCGATATCAGATCACGTGATCCTAAGATAATGTGCTGCGGCGATGTTGATGATAGTCTGTCTTTATTTAGCAACTTTGGGTGATGACTCCTTTGACTGAACCCAGACGCCTAGCACCTTCTAGTTCAGACAATGCCCAAGTCTTCCCTCCATTCTGTCGTTCAAATTCCAAAGGAACTCGCTTTCACCGAGTCTAATCCTGCCCGGTTCAGCCTTCCCTTACAGCGTGATGACTCCAACATGCATCATTCACTCCAAGAATTGCACCAAAGTTGTGACTCATAACTTAGAACAATCATTCCACATTCAAGGTCCATCTGCCATATATCAATTACCTGAAAGAGGCTGAGCAATGAAGCCATCGCCCTTGATACTGGGATATCCCCATGCTCCGATACCGGATGAGGCAGGCGGTGACTCACGGACCGCCTTTTCCCACATTCGGAGTAATTCTTTTCGACCCCGCGGTGACTCCAGTCGCTCGATCTATATAACGCTGCCCTTTTTCCCTCCTCGCCCTCGGGCTCATTATCTCCAGTTTGTCAGATTTATCCTTCTACATCCGGAGCCATGGCAGCCGCCGCCGCCGCTGCATCTGCAGCTGCGCTCGAGCAGGGCACGAAAAACACTATGAAACTCGAGAATGTCTGCCTCACATGCCCCTCTTTGTCCCCCAAGAGATCCGATTTGACCTGGATTGAGCTGACCATGTATTATCTGCATAGACCGAGAAGAGAGATACCCTTATTGCCCTTGAGAAGAAGTACCAGGCTCAATGGAAGGCAAACAAGGTCTTTGAGGTCGATGCTCCCTCCGAGACGGAGGTGCCTTTCGGCAGCATGTCCGCCGCTGAGCTCCGTGAGAAGCACCCTAAGTTCTTCGGAACCATGGCCTACCCCTACATGAACGGTACCCTTCACGCCGGCCACAGTTTCACTGCTAGCAAGGTCGAATTTATGACCGGTGTTGCTCGCATGGAGGGCAAGAGGGCCCTTTTCCCTCTCGGATTCCACTGCACTGGTATGCCCATCAAGGCCTGTGCCGACAAGCTCCGGGATGAAGTCGCCAAGTTCGGCAAGAACTTCGAAGGCTACAGCGAAGAGTCTGAGGAGCAGGACAAGGCCGCCGTTGCCGCTCCCACCCAGGAGGTTAAGGCTGAGCAGGAGAAGTTCTCCGGAAAGAAGAGCAAGGCCGCTGCCAAGACCGTCAAGATGAAGTACCAGTTCCAGATCATGCTGGCTATTGGTATCCCCATTGAGGAGATCCACAAGTTCGCCGATGCCGCCCACTGGCTCCAGCACTTCCCCCCTCTCGCCATTCGTGATCTCGACAGCCTGGGTGCCCGTGTTGACTGGCGCAGACAGTTCGTCACCACCGACGCCAACCCCTACTATGACGCCTTTGTGCGCTGGCAGATGAACCGCCTTCACGAGCTGGGCAAGATCCAGTACGGCAACCGTTACACCATTTACTCTCCTAAGGACGGACAGCCTTGCATGGACCACGACCGCACTGAGGGTGAGGGTATCGGTCCCCAGGAATACACCGCTATGAAGCTTAAGGTCAAGGAGTGGGCTCCTGAGATCGCCGAACTCGTCAAGGGCAAGATTGAGGACGATGCCAATGTCTACTTCGTCCCCGCCACTCTGCGTCCGGAGACCATGTACGGACAGACCTGCTGCTTCCTTGGCCCCAAGATCACCTATGGTCTCTACAAGGTCAAGGAGAAGGAATACTTCGTCGTCACCAAGCGGGCTGCCTGGAACATGGCTTTCCAGGGCTACTTCGCCGACGGCGAGAAGTTCCTCAAGTCCCAGGACCAACTGCCCCTTGTCGTTGAGGCCCCCGGAACTGCCTATGTCGGTACTCTCGTCAACGCTCCTCTTTCTTTCCACACTGAAGGTGTGCGCATCCTTCCCATGGAGGGTGTCTCTGCCAGCAAGGGTACCGGTGTTGTCACTTCCGTGCCCTCGGATTCTCCCGATGATTACGCCACTTTGATGGATCTCGCGAAGAAGCCGGAGTACTATGGTATCAAGAAGGAGTGGGCTGAGCTGGAGATCTTCCCTCTCATTGAGACTCCGACGTACGGAAACCTCACTGCTCCCGCTCTCGTCAAGCAGCTCAAGATCAATTCTCCCAAGGACGTTAACCAGCTTGCACAGGCCAAGGAGTTGGCCTATGGTGAAGCTTTCTACAAGGGTACCATGATTGTCGGTGAGTACAAGGGTCAGCCCGTGAGCGCTGTTAAGGAGAAGATCCGTAAGTCTCTCTACGAGAGCGGAGATGCCTTCCCCTTCGCCGACCCTATGGGCAAGGTCGTCAGCCGCAGTGGAGATGACTGTGTTGTTGCCTACCTCGGCCAGTGGTTCCTGAACTACGGTGAGAACGACGCTGAGTGGCAGAAGACCACCCTGAACCACGTTGTGAACACCCTGAACGCCTACTCGAATGAAACCAAGAACGGTTTCGAGAAGAACCTGTCCTGGCTCAACCGCTGGGCCTGCGCCAGAACCTACGGTCTGGGTTCGAAGCTGCCCTGGGACAAGCAGTTCCTTGTTGAGAGTTTGAGTGACAGTACCGTCTACATGGCCTACTACACCATCGCCCACTACCTGCACGGTGACCGCTACGGTAAGGAGCCTGGCTCCCTGGACGTGAAGGCCGAGCAGATGATCGACGAAGTCTGGGATTACGTCTTCACCAGACGTGAGCTCAGCGATGAGCTTGTTACCAAGAGCGGTATCAGCAAGGAGGCTCTGCAGAAGATGCGCAGAGAGTTCGAGTACTGGTACCCTCTGGACGTCCGTGTCTCCGGAAAGGATCTTATCCAGAACCACCTGACCTTCTTCCTGTACATCCACGTCGCCCTCTTCCCTCCTGAGTACTGGCCTCGCGGTGTCCGTGCTAACGGACACTTGCTGCTCAACGGTGAGAAGATGAGCAAGAGTACGGGTAACTTCCTTACCCTGAAGGATGCTGTCGACAAGTTCGGTGCTGATGCCACCCGTATCGCCTTCGCCGATGCTGGTGATGGTATCGAAGACGCCAACTTCGAGGAGACCGTTGCTAACAGCAACATCCTCCGTCTCCACACTCTCAAGGACTGGATGGAGGAAGTTGTCAAGGACGAGTCCCTGCGTACCGGCCCCGCCGATGCCTTCTGGGACAAGCTCTTCGACAACGAGCTTAACGGCCTTGTCCGTGAGACCAAGAAGCACTACCAGGAGTAAGTTACCTTTTATTATCCCGCAACCACCTGTCCACATGATGTTCGCATATTCTACGTATTTGCTACTTCAGAGCCTTTCACGGCCATGAGACAAACATCACCACATGCCTGATGGACCCTTCCTAAAAACTCTTCGTCTTGCTTCACTTGACTTCCACTTGGACTTTCATGAAGCTAACTACTTCTAGCACCAACTTCAAGCTCGCCCTGAAGTCCGGTCTGTACGACCTGGTCAGCGCCCGTGACTTCTACCGTGAAGCTACCACCACTGCCGGCATTGGCATGCACCGTGACGTCGTCCTCCGCTACATCGAGCTGCAGGCTCTGATGATGGCCGTCATTGCTCCTCACTGGTCCGAGCACATCTGGCTCGAGATCCTGAAGAAGGTTCGTACTTACCCCACAAGTCCACTCCATAACACCCTCACTAACACCCTATCCAGCCCTCGACCATCCACCACGCCCGCTTCCCCGAGGTCCCCGAGCCCTCCCTCGAGCTGTCCGCAGCCCTTGACTACGCCCGCTCGACCACCTCCAGCATCACCTCCGCGGAAGCTAACTTCGTGAAAAAGCTCTCCAAGGGCAAGCAGACTGCCTTCGACCCCCGCAAGCCCAAGAAGCTCAGCATCTACGCGGCCAAGAAGTTCCCCGTCTGGCAGGAGAAGTACATCGACCTTGTGCGCGAAGCCTTCGACGCAGTCAGCATCTCCTTCAACGACAAGGAGCTGAACGCCAAGGTCGGCAAGCTCGGCGAGATGAAGAAGGCTATGCCCTTCGTCCAGAGACTCAAGAAGCGTCTCGTTGTCGACAAGGAAGTCCCCGAGGCTGTCTTCGACCGTAAGCTGCCTTTCGATGAGTTCGCTGTCCTCAGCGAGATGGTTGCTGCTATTAAGCGCGTTACTGGCGCCAAGGAGCTGGAGATTGTTGCTGTCGATGAGGGTGGTAAGACTGGTGAGGTTGTTGGTACTGGTGAGAAGAGGGAGGGATTGCAGGCTGAGAATGCTGTTCCTGGCCAGCCTTCTTTCAACTTTGCCAATATTGAGTAGATGATGAAGATGAAGATGGTGATGATTATACATGATACAGATTAGATGAGATATCTTGATGGGTTTCATGTTTTCTTTTCTTTTGTTCTAGTGAAAGATCATAAAATAGCAATTTTATTGGATTCTGTTAGATTTATGGATTTGATTGGTGATGCTGTGTAGTTTTGCTGTTGATGTTGGGTAGACACAGTATACTACCAACGATAACATCATACTCATTGCAATTTCACAGGACGAAGGTTTCACTAGGCAGTGAAGCCAAAAAGACTAGATCTTTCATGCCAAACTCTTTAACACCCCGATCATCCTGTAGCATATATCATTAGCATCATGCACTAACCCCGCGTACGATATCTCAAAGTCAAGAGTAATAGAACGAGAATCGACAGACACGGTTACTTGGTACTCACCTTCTCAACCCCTCCCTCAACACATCCTCCTCCTGCGCATAGACAAGCCTAAACCACCCCGGTATATTTCCATGCTCTTCACATGGATGCAAGAATACACCTGCATCGACGAATTTCTGAGCGAGAGTGAATTCAGGCGGAGATGTGCTGTCATTGGTATCTTTGGGGAGATAGGATGATAGGTCGATATATATAAAGAAGCCGGCGTTTCTGGAGGAGACAATATAAGTTGCTATTTGGAACATAGATTTGGAATGATTTCCGGACA